GGGGCCGGGGGTGCCGCAGAGACGCCACGCGTGTGCGTGCAGCGCGCTGCGGAACGGCAGCCCGCATCGCGCGTTTCAGTGGAAAGGAGAAGAGTTTCCCGTTAACGTTGGTCAGTTTGTATGCCTACATTCACAACTTTAAAGTAGTACTTTCCAGAAAGCATTGGATTAAAAACACCCCTATGTTTGCCTAATACTGCCATGTAAAAACAGAATTAAAACAAGTATCTTATCTGTCGACTTGCAAAAAATCCAAGCCTGCACAGAGCTACGTTAGAGCGCTTCAAAGACCGGAATTCAACTGAACCAGTAATATGAAGAATGGCATATACGTAATGAAGTAAGTGCAAAAAGGCCCTTTCCATTATATTACACTTTCCCAAATGCAATAGGTTATCATGTAGTGTTTACACAGTAAAAACTATTAGATTTTCTGAACTTCTCCACACTGCTCAGAGATGTCACCAATACGTTCAACTCAAATACAGAAACTTTAAATATTCTAATAAAAATAGCTTTTTTTAATAAACCACAAGTAAGTAGAAGGCAAATATACCGGACTATGCATAGCTTTGAAAATGTAAAGTATACCATGAACAATTGAGCGTCCTTCTTCATTTATCTGGCATAATGCATCTTATTTACCTTAACAAGTCAAGGTTTTGGGACAATGTTGGTATTTTGGAAACACATACTGAAAAAACATTGATGGGAGAATGAAATTTAGAGGACAACAGAGGACAATAATAAGTCACATAAATGATGTGTATTTAGAACACACATGCCATATGCTCTGAGCTTCCCTGAAAAAAAATAAAATAGTGCAATTCAGTGTATATACTGAATTAAATCAAGAGGCGGTATACTTTTATTCCTTTGAAAAAATACTGTTCTAAAAATATTCAGATGTCCTCTAAACTTTGACTTTTATGGAACTATAGCTTTAAATTTAGTTTTCATATGCAAAATATTTACACTTTATAAACTTGCGGAATTTCTAATAAACTATATTATATATACTTACACAAAACTTAATTTATATATAATCCTATTATATCTTGCAGATCAAAACTCACCACATGTACAATAATTTACAATGACAGAAGCTTCAAGCATCAAAATATCTCCTTTAAAATAACAATATTAGATAGAGTTCTCTACAGATTCTGAATTGCAGTACTTCCTGGATTGCCTGAATATCATTAAACTTCTGAGAATATGCAAAATTTTAATTAAATATCAAGTAGCAAGGTTTGTGCTGTCATAAGAAATGCTTGCAACTATTTAAAAAACACCTGAAAGGAACAAATTAAAGGTTTGCCAGAAGCCTCTGAAATGAAGGCTTGAAACTAGAATTCACTGGAAGGTTCAATTTAAGTGCACACACTATATGCAAATCTTGTATACTGAAGTCCCTTAAATACTTAAGAATTAATCCATTGAACAGAAGTAAAATTAAACAGTAAGCTATAAATGTACAAGTTTTCAACAGTATTCATAACTGAAAATTTTTGCCTACTTTGGTATAAAAGCTGCTTTAAACAGGCACGTTTACTTTTAGAAGACAAACACAAGCTTTAATACTATGGCTATTGCTGGATATTTAAGCAATGCCTCTGTGGGTCTGTTTTTAATTATATAAACCTTCTTTAGAACCATTTTATTCTGTATTAATCCGAAGAACCAATATTGCCAACAGTGATAATTTGTAATATACTTTAGCGCTGAACAGTTAGCCAAAACAGGACTTCTCAGAATCCAGTACAATTGTCATTTGTTTAAAAAACCCAAACAATTTACAATAAAAAATAGATTTTCCTTTTATTTTTTATATCTACTGAGCTATTTGAACTTTTCAATTAGAAGCATATTGGTGAAATCCCTTCCATATTTTTGTTTATTTCAAAAAAGGAAAATTTGGAATTCTTAGGTAACCAGAAAATCTCAACACTTCTTTCTGAAATCCTACAATAGAATATTTTTTTTTATCTCATGAAGTCCACAAACTTACTCCTAACAGGAATACACACATACCTAGTTTTACACAATGTGAATATTCCTATTGCTGTTAACGTGTTTATTCACGACATGTAAGACTGAGGATGAATTTCTTTACAGGAACATTACCTACTATGTAATAAATTAAAGCGTTCTTGTGAAAACAATAAATCAATTTCAATTGTACCAGACTTTCCAAAATAACTCTTAAAGCCCTCCATAACTAGAAGTTGATTAATAATGTCCCCAGTCCACAGGTTCTGAAAGGCACGTAATTGAAGAGTTGGTTTTGTTTGTTTTGAAGTCCTCCTCAAATGAAGACAGTCTAAAATAATTTGTGTTAGGACAGTCTAATGTAAGGCATTAAAATATTCCTCTTTATGCTATAGATCTATGTTAAGCACCACTTGCTATTACAGTATAGAACGAAGCCAACATTTTCTTCAAAAATGTGTTTGTACTTGGGACATCATTTGTGAGGGAGATGCAGATGAGGCTGATGAATTGGGTATCTTAGAATTATTTGTGATCTGTAGTTCTTCAAGTCTCCTTATATAATCATCACGTAACGCAAGGAGCTCCATGTAACGCTGCTCCACTGGATTTGGCTGCTAGAAAGAGATCTATATTAGTCTTATCACTTCAGTCCAACTACTTCTACACAGTTAGGCTGCTGTACTATTTGTGTTTTCCCGGCATTACTCAGTATTTGTAGTTTCCAACACATGCAACACATTGTAGCTAAGCTAAACAGAAATATTTATTTCTATAATGCAAGAGCCCTCTGCCTTCCAGTTGTTTTCACCCAAAGACAATCTTTACACAAAACAGTTCTCCTCAGTAAAGTCAGCCAGCACTTCCTGGAGCATATGGATTTCATTTTCTTATTATCTAATATTGTGTGGAAGATAGGTGTGAATACCTTGTCCAAAGCTTTTCTCTCTCTCCTTTATTTGCTAAAAGGTTTTAGATTCCAGAGGTCAGATGTCTCATCATCTTCCCTAAAAACGGTGTTTAGCCAGACTATTGCAGTTACACTGATCAGATTAAGATGAAATCCATGTCTTCAGATTAAACAAACTTCCCTTACTGATAAAAATTTACTTCAGTTTTTAATACAAAATTTGCAACTTTGTGTAAATAAACAAGTGAAATAAATGCAAAACTGTATTAGTGAATTCTGTAAGTAAACTTGAATGCGTTTAAAATCAACTGCCCTAGCTTTCAGGACACTACTCATAGAAAGACCATCTAAACTGTTTCCATTTTAAGCTTAGCTTCCTTTTTCAGCTAGAGTAATGAAACAAATTGAAAAGAAGTATTACAAACGTCCGAGGCAGATGCAAAGCCTAAAGTTATATATATATAACTTCAGCTGTATATACCTGTCAAGAAGTTGCTGCTGTTTCACAGTTAACTGCCTGTAATTAAAAGCTACTTGCACTACAGTTTCAGGAGCAAATGTAAACACCTCACCAGTTCAAAACCAGCTGAACCAGCACTCTTACGTGCACCACTCACCACCCCCCAGGTGAGGACAGCGATGAGTGTTGAAGCAACTGTGGAAGTTGGATCAATGACTGAACGTAGTTACTAAGATGATTAGAGATGCAGGGTTAATGATGTTGCTAAGTGATGGATCAGACTCTTCATTAAACCAAAGTCTGATGCAGAACATGCTTCTAAGTAATGGCACTAAGAAAGGTCATTGAAAAACGGGGTCAAGCCACATGTCCACTATTCAGTTGCTTAAGTCAAGGCGAAGCGTAAATTTCATATGCAGAAAAAAGAATGTTGCATTTTGTATATAAAAATGGTGAAAATGAGGGGCCAGTAGTAGCAGCACAGAAGATTATCACATGGGTTTGCATTTCTAGTAAGAAACTCCTGCCAAAACCTTTCCTGAATCATGGCAAAATGCATTTTTAAGTAGATTTACAGCTAATTTGCATGCACTATAATCCTTCACTTTCTAAAATAAATCTTTGGATTCACCTTTTGCAAAAACACCCTCATCTTTCACAGCAAGCAACAAAAGCTTTAAAACTAGAACTTCACATTAAAACTGGCAACATACTTGTAAGAAAATATAGCAAACTGTCTGGCTTTCTTGCAGCCTCTAACGTATTGTAAATAACACAGGAGATCAGCTGCAGAAAAGGAAGTGCATTGCTTGAAAACTCCCGATTCATTCCAGGGCTGGATTGTGAAGACTGCTTCTGTCAAAGAAATAGCTCCTCTATCTTCTCCTACTCAAAACTCCACAACTTGTTAACAAGGACAAATAAGTCTCTGTACACTATCTTTACATGCCACATTGCTGAGATTTCTAGCAAGATTGTAACAAACATTGAGCGTCCATCTATTAAACATTAAAATCACAGAACTGAACTATGTGTAATTTGATAAAAGCTTTTCTGGGCTTCCAATCTGATCCACTTGTATAATTTTCAATAACAGCTTTCATCCAACAGTTACACAGTGTAAACAATGTTGGGTCATCAAAGTTACATTAAAAAAAAATTACCATAAGCCATCAATACAGATAGTACTTTTGAAAGAGAAAGGACCAAATAGGTCTTCTTAATTTGTAAAATACTTCACTCTCTCAGAAAAAGGAGAAAGACTAAGCAAATGCAACTAAGGGTGTTTGTGATGCTAATACCCTAACTCTTCAGGGATCAGTAAGCCCTATTTCTAAGTGTTGTCATTCACCCTTTAGCATCAAATGCCGTTAAAAAAATGCTCCCCCAGTCCTGTCCCCAAGAAAAGGGGCTAGAAAGAACTTGAGGATGACTTGAAAGTAAGCAGTGAAATAAGCTCAGTGTTCTGAGAAGAGCTGAGAGAGTCAAAAAAGACACACCTGAATAATCACTTTCATCTTTTTTCTCTATCTTTACAAATGTAATATTAAAAACCTGAACAGATTACAGGTACTATTCCACAAGTCAGTTATGACACAAAATCCTATTTCCAAAGTCTAAAAGCATTTTGTACATTACAGAGAATTTACTTACTTGTTGCTGAATTCTTGGGTTCCACCTGATGTAGTAATTGACCCAGAGCTCTAAATGACGCATACTGGCTACTGGATACAGTGCTCGATTTAGCTCTTTAGTATAAAAAGGATTGGTGTATTTAGATTTTTCACTGTTTATCAAAGACCATAACGATAATGTTTTCTCAGTCACTTTCTAAAATGAAATTGAAATAAGAACAGTAAGTATTTGCACAGAATCAGGAAATCCATCATAGAAGCCATGGTTACATTCTAAAAATTAATGCACTTCTGATTTACTTAGAAGCATAATAAATCACTGTATTAGAAATATTCCAAAACCAGTGCTTGACAAGTATTTTAGTGACTGCATAGTCTTTACAAAGAATTTACCATGCAACTATTCTGTAACGAGAATGAAGCCAGTTCCAAACCACTGTCATACACAGAATATACCAAATACAGTACAACCAAAACTTCTTGTAATCATCTAGAATCAAGACAGCAATACAATTAAACAATCAGTGGTTTGACTAACCTCTTTTTCTCTAAGAAACTCACTGTTATACAAGAAAGTACCAAACCGGCAGCTGTACAAGTGATCCAGGATTGTAATCAAGAACTGCTCATTGAATTCAAAGGCCGTAGGAAACTAAAAAGAGAAAAGACAAATTTGTTCTTTACATCGTAAAAGCAGGCAGAGATGCACATGCCCTAGTTAAGAGGCCAAAGGCGCCGTTTAGAAGCCTGAATACATCTACAAATAATTTTTTTAAGATAATACTTTCATATACTTTATAGCAGAGTAAGCGTTCAGATGACATGAGGTGTTCAACTTTCTCAAATTAGTCACTGAAAAGAACTCTTCTCGAAATATTTTAACTGCCTTTAATTTCTAAAAAGAAGAATAAAATACAGAATGGTTACAGTTACGTTTTTACTAGCAAGACAGAATAAGATATCCACAGTGCACTCTTTCTAGTGCAGCACCATACAGGAAAATAAGGTTTTAGCTCCTAATCCTTGGCCCTAAACAGACTAAGTTTGCTGCTTTGTTTCATTACGTATTGAAAATACAACGTTTAAATCACAGCACTCAACAGCTTCCAAGGTTCCTTTTCAAGCTTTGACAAAACAACATTTGTCACTGTAGTTCAAGGGACAGCTTCACAAAAATGGTGAAATGAAACAACAGACCCTATTAAGACAGTTGGATGCAATTCCTGTAAAACCATTCTGCTGGGTCACATCTCTCACTATGTTTCTGAAAAGCCCACATCCAAGACACATCAGCCTTGCATGCATAGCCAATGCCATATTAAGTAACATAACTACAGCTTGTATACCACTTTTAGAAATAGGGTAGAGAGATGGTATGGTTTAGAAGTAAATACACTCTTTTTTTACTACAGTGTCAGAGCAGAAGGGTATGCTGTCCTCTTCAAATACTTTTTTAAACAAAGATCCAGGGTTTTAATTCAGTAATCTCTTCACAATGTTACCTTCTGAAGAATGACATAACATACCTGTTTAGACATCTGCCACACACAGTCAATAAACTGGAGAAAGATGGGCGATCTGTCTGCATCAGCATGATTTTTATCACCGTGGCCTATTCTCTGAAATGAAGCAATACAGCCTCCTGTTAACCAAAACAGCCTATTTTATGGCCAATAGACATTGTTTCTTATTTTGGACTAGAATATTAATGCTTCTGTAATAGAACAACCTGCTCTTATTATTTCAGAATTAGTTATTGCACCAAGGAGGAGAGATTCAGATACACAGAAATACCACAAAGCTGTTCCAAAGACGTCTGAGAAAAATTCCAAAGTGGTAACTGGTCCTGTTATAAAAACCTGCTAGTTATTGGACAAGCAGAACTGTTAAAGCATCCATTACTTTGCAAAAAATAAGACATATTTTGAACTATATTTACGTAGTAAGTTTCTCAAAAAGCAAGCTATATACTTTGTCTTCTTTTGTAATTTAAGCCACTGAAGAACCTAGATCATCAAACTATCCACACAGATTCTCCTCTTATCCCTCCACACTTGAGACTAAAGATTCACCCTGAGGTAGACCATGAACATGAGCGAGCTCAAAGAAACATTCATGTGCTTGGCAGAAAATTAATGCACATTTCTGAAGTTTGGGTGAGCTGCTTATTCTGAGGAGTCCAAAGTAACAGTCAAAGGAATTCTCCCCACAGACAAAACATAGGTTTGGTAAAAGGTGTTTCCTTCCTTTTCACATTTGATAGCTGAGAACAGATAAGAGATTCTATTAACTCCGTAACTCTGCTTGAATGTACTTGCCTGGAGGAGACAAAAGAAGAGCATGTATGTTGAACTAAGATGTTGTCTATCTGCCTGTAAGATAGCAGGCTTAATGTCTTAAGGATAAAATGATAAAACCAGTACACTACTCTGTACGGTGATTTGCAAGATAGTTTAAAATAATAGAATTGAATGGCAGAAAATAGAGGGAGATGAGGGATTGTAGCTGAACTCAGTCAACAGTAGCAAGTAACTAGAACAGCACTGTAGGGAAGACAAACAAATTGGCCTCCTTGCTCTCCAGTTTTCTTGGTTTAAAATACATGGTATCTGTTAACAGTCATACATGTGTTCAGTAAGGAGTGGAAGTCCTTCCACTTTCACTATAGTTAGCAGTTTTAGGATGTCTCAGTATTTTCCATCTATAATTAGGTCTATGTCTCATATTTCTTATATTAGAATGCATTATTAGAATGACATTCCCCATCGCAAGCGATTTTATCATCTGGATAGCATACTAAGTTCACTCTACATAGAAAAGCTGGGGGAGGGAATTCCTTTTCACCAAGGAAACTTATTGTGCACTTCATTAGATAGAAAATACAAGGAAGAACTATTAAGTAGTCTACCATTTAGTTATTTGTTATTAATACATCCAAATTGCAACCCTGCTAACATGAAAACATGAAGCCTGCTCTAACCCAGACAATATAGGAAACACCCTCCTCTTCTCCAGCTCCCCACTTGAGGGAAGGCATAACAACAATCATTTCAGAGATGAGGTTCAGGAAACACTAGCTACACTGAAATGCCTAGTCCTCACTATTAAAACTCGCAGTTCTATCAAATAATTACCAAACTAAAACAGAGCATGTATGATCAAAATATTTTCTGCTTGCATTATCAGTTTTTATTCTACAGAACACTCCAGAAAAGGACTACCTTCACTATAAGCTAAACAACCCATCAAATCAAAATATACAGTACTCTCAGAAAACAGCAGATGGCTAAAGGAGAGTGGCTTCAACGATTTCCAAAGATTACTACTTGAGTGAGCAAGTTGGGAAAATAAAATAGTAGTTTAAGCAAAAGCAAGCTATTTAAATCACCCTTATTGCTGCTACATTGTCAGAGATGAACCAGTGGACTGAGCTAGCCATCTGGAAGGGGTGTAAAAATCCTACCTCACTAATAGAAGAAAAACATTATCTGTTGAGAGAAACCAACTCCTTCGATTACTCAAACTGAATTAATGGTTTAATAAAAAGAATCATAGATTATTCGAATTTATTACTAATTGTGAAGGACACACAGATCTCTCTAAGCTTTGTGTTAAACCATAACATATGCACTAGGCTACAAGTCTCCTAGTTATACAATCTAATTTTATCTGCACCATGACTATAACGTTTTTTTAAAAATACAAAATAGAATACAAGAATAAAAAGGCAAGCCAGTGTTTTCCTGTGGCTGTACCAAGACAGAATACTTCAAAGGTTTATATAACACATCACTACTAGAAGACTACCAGTAAGTACGCAAAAAACTGGACTACAGCAGGTATCACTCCCAACAATCAAAATGCAAATCTCCTAAGCCTCAAAGCACCTTTAGAATGTCAGATCAAAGACTGCCGCAGCCTACAAGCACACTTAAATGATGAAGTGATTCATGCTGTGTAGCTATACATGGATTTCCAAATGACTGAGACGCTCTTGCAAACGTAAAATGGGCACGAAATACACACATAGATATATTTTTCCATTTCTTGATTTTTCCAGATTGCTTATTTTCCCAATTTTAGCAATATTAAGTATTATCTTTACAGTATTCCACTAGGGACAAAGTCTCTGTGCAAATACTTCTACTGAAGGTATGGAAACTTCTTACTGTGAATTACAAGGTTCAGCATCAACAAGTAACACTGTTGTAAAGCTCCCAACTTCTGTTTTATGTTTACATATCACAGCACACTCTCCCTGGCAACCTATTCTACTTCTCCAGGTTCCTCATATAGATTTCCTGGTTAAATGGTTAGTTGCCAAGTTTAAGAGAAGTTCCACTAAGACTCTGAACAAACACCCTTGGCTTTGCATTATACATGGGTAGAACATAAGGACTTGCTATAGACAATTTCCACTTAACCTTCTAAGCATCCAGAAAACAACTGAACAGAAGTAGAGCCAGCATTACCAGTGACAGCCTCTTGAGAGCTATTATGACAAGTTTGTAAGATTTGGGAAGAAGTAGTCAAAATATCACTTAAAAGATAATTGGCCACACTCATTCATCGGCCACACATGACATCCAAAATAGTCCAAAGGGAAGGTGAGGGAGAAGCCTCATGTCCCAGCCATATCTGACCTTCTTCTGAAAAGTTTGGGAGGACATAATTTTTCTGCCTTCTCATTTTCTTTGCTCAATACCAACAGTAACACTAGCAATTCTGTGTTTTTAAAAGGGTGTAAGGGACAAAATATGAGTTTTCTGAAAAAGAGTATCAAAAAAATATTAACCAAACGGGTCCAAAACCAAAAGCTCTGCTCAGATTTACCTGGAATTTAAATCAGAACTCCAAAATAATGAAAAGAATTATCAAACCTTGACACAATGAGCAGTTTAACATTAACAGCTTTTTAGAACACTAATGCTGCATGGTCCTTGCAATTATCTTCTAATTCTTACCGATGCAAATTTGTGTCCAAAGCCTATCCACTCTTTTTGCACCAGAACTTCAAAGCCTTCAATTGTTCTGTAGTAGCTGTCTAGCATCAACATGGCCAGCGATGTCAGCTGTGCGGTCCGGTCCCAGCCATCACTGCAGTGAACCAACACAGAGCTCCTGCCTGAGGATACCTTGTCTGCCACTTGAATAGCTCCTGTCAAGACAAGCTAGCAAAGAGGAACAGACACCAAACAACACAGATTAGTGTTGTCATTCTAACAGAAATAAATTGATTTCTTTGTATCTACACAGTATCTAAATTGATACTGTTTCCATTAAAAGACCTAAAGAGCATGGTGTAGTTAATTGGAAAAGAATTTTCTAGGAGATCAAGTAAATTTCTTATACAAAAATAGAGAAACAGATTGGTTCCCTAATCCCTTAGTAAGATCTAATTCATCTCACAGCAAGTTCTAAAAAGTGGGGCAGAAACCAGTAACCTTGATAAACTGAAGAACATAAGCTTCTTTTTTAAAGAAAGAGAGGATTTACCATAGGATATTCTCTGTAAAAATTCTGTATTTCATTTGGCTCCTTTCTTTGAACTAAATTACTGAAATATCCCAGTTGTTGGTAAAGGGAACTTATACCCTTCTAATATGCTTATTTTCCAAATACTAACTTAAAATGAAAGTTTTATTAAGTAGGATTCATTACAGAATACTCTAAATACTTTTGCACAGCTGTACTTGAGGCAAAAGGGTCAAGGGTCAACTAGTAAGAACACTGGTGAATTACCAGTTTAAGTATTTTATTTGTGCTACATGATGAAAATTACAAAATTTACAAATAAATTTACAAGATTTATTTACAAAACCACAATTCACAAAATAGTCACATACATACTGACAACTAAAGTAGTTACTAATCCTTCACAATGACAGTTATCTGTAGTCCTGTATTGCTAGAAACAAAAAAAAATTTCATTCTCACACATGTAAAGACAATCGGACTAACAATGCATTCCTCTATTAAAGACTGACATTTGACTTAAGGCAGGCAATAAACATTGAATTTCACCTACTGTTGCTCAGTAATGGTATCTCATAACATACTCTGAGACTAGCGGGCAAAAAGCCAGCACTCAGTGACACTGGTTTTGTAGTCCAGGTATTTTGATGTGTTCCATATCAGGACTATCTCAAGTCTAGCAAAGAAAGCAAGTCTGTTAAGACAGATTTGGACAAAAGCTACTTCAAACAAACAGCAAAAAGTTACCTTTATATGTTCTAACCAATGGGTTGATTCCAGACTCGACAACCAGTGTGATTCTTCCACATTAGGATACACAATGTCCTTCAACTTCTTCAAAGATTCCCGCATGACATGAATGTTATGAATGTCCAAGAAGAAAAGTTCTGCATTGGGATACGCATCTTCACCTTCATATCCTCCCCCAGTTGCCTACAAACAAGAGATCTAACATTAACTTTAGTCACATATATGCTGTTGTAGCAGCTTTTCAACAGAGCAAGAAGGGACTGGGTTTTATCTATACTTTATTTTGTAGTTGGGCAATATATAATTTCAGTTGCTTGTTCAAAACATCAGTCTTAGATACAAGCTTTGGAGGGGCAAATGCTGGAGAAGAATACTTGGGGGACAAAGTGTGTTAAGTATAGCACATGGCCAGAAGGACATTCAAGTTGCTCCAGCTAGCCTAGTTCCTTTCAATACCTCAAGGGAGTAACCCTAAAAGGGAAAATTAATTATTTTAGATTAACACTAAAGGGTTGTTTGTACTGTTGGGCCTGAAGACCTTCAAATAGGATTGAACTAGCCAGGTAAGGGAGAGTGGGCTAGCATCACATCAGTCAGAACTCCAACTGCTTTGAGAATAAAAAGACATTTGTACCTTCCTCATTACTTTTGAGATTCATGGTGGAAACAGCTTTTTCCTTGACCAACTGACATTACAATGTCAATTTTTTTTTCTTCATTTATGTTCACTTTTCCCACCAAGGATTAAACAAACTCATGATTCTGAATACAAAAGAAATCAACTTACTTCCCAGACAGATTATTAAGGTTAAATCAAAATGTAAAGTACATCACACAAAACAGCAATTACTCATAACATACTATATCACCACTTCCAGGGAATAAAATTGCTCATTTCTTTGTTTTGGTACCAATTAGAAAGAAATTCAGTCAAAAAGATTTGTCTGTTTCTTTACACAACTAATTCAAAAGAGAACAAATCTCAGGTTTACCAGTGCAAACTTGCTACCAAAAAAAGAAAAAAAAAAAAACCAACCCACCCCAAAAAACCCCACAACCCTCTTTTCTGTGTTTAAACTGCCTAGTTATTTACAAGTAAAAGTGAACTAATATTGAAATAGATAAAAATGATAAAATGTTTGGCCAAGTAAAATTAAATTTAAGAGTTCAGTTAAGAATAAGCTATGTTTCATTGAAGAATTAAATTCAAGAACCTTAGATTCTGTCTCTAAGAAGTAAATTAGTAATAACGTTAAAGTTTACTTTAAAGTAAATTTTCTAACATTAAACTTTATTGCTAAAGACTAAGCATGTATTTAGATTGTTAAGAAATTAAAGAGCCACATAAGTAGAAAGTCTATTCTACTGCTGCACTCTCAAAAGATTTAATCACCACCACAGCAGAGGATGTGCCTGGTCACAAAAGGAAGCGGAAAACCCACACATTTTGGGACACAGTACCACTGATGAGGTTTTCCAAAGATAGCTGCAAAATCACAGCATTTTCTGCAGACAGCAAAAACATGCCATGCCATGAAATGTGATAAATAAATTTTACCTTTATAAGCCATTACAGCCACCAACTACACATCAGACAACCTAAAGTATGGTATAGCCTTTCCCCATTAGTACCACCTACACTTCTGTATAGTAGCACAGTATCTCTATTCTATGCTCTCTATCTCCTTTCTCAGATGTGGGGGTATTCTCAGAGCTGCCAGGCTCTGCGCTAAAAGTAGTAATGATTGTATTCTTCTCTTTCCTTTGAGTGTTATGAAGTCCTGGTGAGGAATGATTGTAATTTTAGCATCAGGGCTGCTGCAACTCCTACTGACTGTGTGGTCTTGACCTATGTACAAAGAACACAGGAATGCATGAGTAGCGTAGCCCAAGATTTTGCTTATATTAATCTTCACAGCTGTTCAGGAAAACTCTATTCAGTGCTGATCGACACTGGCTTGCACTCTGTATGTCATTGTCCCTCAGACCCAGAAATGCACCCTACTACTCTTACTGCTATGATTATTTCATATTTAGACATATCAGGAGTTAATTAAAACACATGGGTGAAATACATCAACCATTTTAAAAAGCTGAAAACTGTGCTTCATACTTCAATAAGTATGTGTGTATAAACTTTCACCATAATACATCTTTGAAACAAATGAAAAAAATTTTAGTTTGTTCAAAAACTGGGGAAAAATTTAAGTTAATGTAAGAACTGACATTCCTTCCACAAGGCAAACAGAAGGATTACATCTTTTATTCACCAATAAAAATTCAGCATGCAGAGGATAGTGCAATTTGTGGAGTAGAATGCAAGCGATTGAGGCAGACCCTCAAAATACAAACCATCAGATTAAAACCTAGCCAAACAGCCCCTAGGATAAAGTCTCTGAAAGAACGTGTGCTATAAAAAAAGCCTTATTTCTTGCTTAATAAATTATATTCTCTATTATAGAGAAGAGGGCTGTAAAGGTACAGATGCATGCGTTTAAGTTGCACAGAGCAAAACACATTATTGTCCCTCTTGAATTCTGAAGCAACTTAACATTTGTAACATACAAACCTCTTAGAGGCAAACCAGTTTTACCATTTCATATTGCTTTCAGCACAAACATTGAAGAGGACTCATTCCACTAAATTAGTGTTCGTTTTGTGCCAAAAAACTATTCAGAAGCATGAATTCCTTCTCTCCCCGATAAGCACACTCATCGTTTCACTAAGATCTCAAACCCTCTTGAGCTATCTCCTATCACTCATACTCTTTTCTGTGCAGACACACAACTTCACTAGTAAGTACTGAAGAGCATGTCCACTTCATTTGTGCTTGAAGTTCAGGGGGTAAAGGACTATCCTAGTGTCCTGGTTTCGGCTAGGATAGAGTTAATTTTCTTCCTAGTAGCAGGCATAGTGCTGTGGTTTGGATTTTGTAGGAGAAGAATGTTGATAACACGCTGATGTTTTTAGCTGTTGCTAAGTACTGCTTATGCTAGGCAAGGACTTTTCAGCTTCCCATGCTCTGCCAGGTACACGAGCAGCTGGGAGGGGGCACAGCCAGAACAGTTGATCCAAACTGCCCAAAGGGCTATTCCATACCATATGGCATCATGCTCAGTATAGAAACTGGGGGGGAGGGGGGTGTTTGGCCGGGGAGCAGCTATCACTGCTCAGGAACTGTCTGGGTATCGGTTGGCGGGTGGTGAGCAATTGCATTGTGCATCACTTGCTTTGTATATTATTATTGTTATTATCATTATTATACTGTTACTATTATCATTACTATTTTACTTTATTTCAATAATTAAACTGTTCTTATCTCAACCCAGGAGTGTTTCTCACTCTTACTCCTCTGATTCTCTCCCCCATCCCATCGGGGTAGTGGGAGTGAGCGAGCAGCTGCGTGGTGCTTAGTTGCTGGCTGGGGCTAAACCACAACACCTAGACATGGAGGGAGTGAAGTTGGTACACTCTCATATGAAGAAAGCATTAAATTTCTGTCCTTCACCGCCTCTCCCTAACAACTTTTCATACGTCTACTGTGCTCTATGCCAAATACAACACTGACACACTGTGACTGGCATTATCTGAGCATGCCTGAACAATCTGGTCCTCACCAGAGTTGAGGGGGGGCAGAGGGGAAAATCAAGGCACAGGTACACCTTTTCTTCTTGAAAGGTTGGACCAGATAAACCTGGGCTGTTCTACGATTTTGATCCCATTTAGGCTTTGATCACAGATTAGCAAAGAAATGGTCACTTTGTCAGATGGAAATACTACTTCTGTTACTGCACTTACCAACTACAGGCACCTAGGGAAGAATAGGCATCTAGGTATCCAACATCATACCCGTGCTGCTGTTTAGAGTGCAAACCCCCAAATTAACTTATTCACCACTTACTCTTTATTTGCTGGATGCCTGGATAGGTCTGAAGTGGTTCATGTAATGGTTAGGAAGAACCAAAGGATGCCTATCAGTGGGCTTGGCTTTATGCACACAGCCTTTCCAGGATAGAATTTTCCCAGAGGATATGAAGCAGAGCTGTGGCTTGCACAGAGGTGGCATGTCATTCCCACAGAGGACATAGTCTACAGCTCAGCCTACGTCTACCTCACAGTGCAGAACGTAGTCATATCTGATTTCAGTCCCATGCTAAGATCTGTGCTTGGCTGATAACAGACAGGGTAAAGTGTATCTGGAAATCCACATATGGTCCTGAAACCCTGTTATGACCTGCTTCAGGTACCTATGTCTTTTCATGGCCTTGAGCCTCAGTATTTGATTATGTAAAATTATCTACATTAAGATCCCTACTGTTCCCAAAAACCTCCTCACAGAAAACTTGAACCTAAGTCTCGTCCCCACCCCCCTTCACAAATAAGACTATTAAGCATCTGTTTACCTTGTTCGCCACTGCATTGACATTGGGCCTAGCATCATAGATGGTCAGTTTTGAGATTTGCCCGTTAGCCTCCCTGATGATATCAAGATATCTTTCATCATCTTTATTCCGCTTGCCACTCATTCCAACAAGGGGCTGACTGCAGCGCATAATAACAGCTTGAGTCTCTGGATGAATCCATGACAGAACCTAGTCACATGTCAAAAACATGTTAGAAGAAATACATTTTATTAAAAAATCATAACTTAAATTTTAAAGTTACATTCTTTAAAATAGCTAATATGAAAATTAACACGTTTTATTTTATTTCTTCAAAAGATAATCCCCAGACATCTCAAGTGCTTCCATTTTAGTCTCATAAAATTTAATAATAATAATCTTTGGAAGAGTTCATTCTCTTACATATTTGCCTCATTGAAATTATACTTACCTATATAATACAGTGCATTTTAATATTTTCCTACAAGTCTTAGGTTGCACAAATAATTCTGAAAAGCAAACTGGAAACAAAGATAGCAATGCCTGCTGAAACTAAGAAACAATTCAGAAAAATGAACTCATTGCAGAAATGGTGACTAAGATGCTCCAATGCCACAAGAACAACTTTCCCTTTTTTTGGATAAGGAAGGGAAGTTGAACCTTTCTGCAGTATCTTGAATGTTTCTCCTTCTCTTCAAAGTACATTTTGTTCCTCTGCCCTTTTGACAAAGAGGAGCACTGGAGCACAGTGCATGCTGCCTTTGCTGTTCTCCTGAGCCAGAGGGGACTTATCACAAACAAAATATAGTGAGCTGCCCAGAGAACAGATTGCAGTGCAAGAGATTAAAGATAAGCACCCCAGAAAGCAGGCAAAAACTGCAACTTCATCATCAAAGAATATTAAGAAACAGTATTCTCACCCAGTCTGAAAGTTGTGGGTTACAGAGTGAAAGAACAGAGTTCAAAAAAAAGAAAAAAAAATCCTCAGAAAGTATTCACTCCTGAAATACAACCCTTTGTTGTATATCTAGAAACGAGACCTGTCAGTGTGTGTGCGGGTGAGTATGATTGGTTATTTCCTGACAAGAATAGAATTACTATTACCAAGGAAATGACTCTCACTGTACAGGCATAGACAAGCCCTGTCATTAATTATGAGATGACAGAGAAGATGCAGCTAGGTTATAAGAACTATATGCACACACTATATATTTAACATATATATTTTGCACACATTATATATTATACATATATGTGTGTGTGTATAGCAAATTTGTAATTACAGGACTAGCCTGTCAGTAAATACCATATCTAATAAATATTAATCATATTGAGCTTGCTGATACTGCCTAAGAATCTAACACCTCTTCCGAGTTTGCCAAATTGAAATACTAGTTAAAACAGATTGTATTGTGATAGAAATTAATATTTTCTATAGTGCTGTAACGAGCTGATACATAAAAATTCTCTTACCTCAAAGAATTTTAGTTAGAGAAATATCCCAAAAAGTCAAATGGTTTATCTTAAATTCCACAGCCCAACTTGAAGGCCTTAAAAGCCCAAGAACTCACTACAGATACTATGCATGAGGTCTTATTTTAGGACCGACCATTGGAACTATGTTTAAATGCCATGCGGTTTGCTTACAGGGGGATTAACATTTGCTATCGCTTTTTTATGCGCATCCAACAATAGCCAACAAACTAGTACAGATGGCAGTCTAAGGCTCATACTTCATTAAGAAAAGGGAGTCTGTAATGCTGGCAGTTGTTACTAGGAAAGTCAAGTTAAAACCAACAAAGTTGGAATGGGTGTTTGTTGTGGGGGAAAAACGGAAATGTGGCTTGGCCAAGACACTAGTTTCAAGCAGTAAAAACCGCCAGCCAATCAAAACTATTTTGCTGTAACCATTTCCAAAAAAAGGATGCTCTGGGTCATGTTCAGCAAAAAGTTGTTTGGATACATACTTAAAACTAGTTACACTATATGGTAACTTTCATCACATAATACTCACCGGGATTCTATTTCGTGACCTAAAGGCAGCAACTTTCTTGAGATCATCATCTGTTGCATTATATGGCACTACTAAGAGCGATGGATATGTGTCACACAGTCCGTAATGTTCATTAATGAAAGTTACTCGCCACCGTTCATTAGGCAGTCCCTAAAATGTAACACAAAGGTTTTCAATGTATTTTTGGCCTTTCAAATAATAATTCTGCTCTTGAATTTTACATGACATTATGGCCACATGGTGGCAACAACCTACCAATTTAACTTAACTACAGTACTGTTTCAAAACAATAGAAGAAAAAAAGATTACAAGACCACACTAAACTGCTCATTGCTGAGGGATTCATAAACAACTGCATAGCTATCCCCCATACACTCTCACATACACAATTCTATGCTTACAACAAGTTTCAAAACAATGCTTAAAACTAGTAGATGTATTTCTTTAACTGTGGGATTGAGGAAAGAAAATTGCCTTCTCTCCTCCCTCTCAAGGCTCTGCCTTTCCATTTTGCCTGCTGAAAAGAGACTATGGTCCTGAGAAGACAGCGGGAGGAAGTATCATCTCAAGCTTTCTTCTCTGTAGCCCAATACTACCTTCAGATTAAAAAAAAAAAAGAAAATTCAAGGTAGCTTTCTTATTGAAACAAGAACTTTTAATTGTAATCTGCTCAGTAAGGCATTTCACAAACAGCAGCCAGGAAATTGAGAAATACTGATAAGCCCTCCACACATACCCCCACACAGTGGGGTTTATGTGGGTGTTAGTATTTTACTCTTTTTGGATCTTCGGCCTCTAAACCTTGAACCAAAAAACTATGGAGGGGAAAAAAAAAAATCTAAGGAAGTTCTTATTGTTTGCTATTTATTTTTTTTTTATATGTCATATTGAAAGCAAAAATAAATTGTCTAAAAGACATTGTAAAAATTAAATTTATCATCCTCTTTCATTGACATTTTTCCAAAAACCACCTGAACAGCAAGGTAGAATACCGACAGACACATAAATAACTTCTGTAAAGCCATGCCATTTCTAAAATAACCTGCTTTTTTTTTTTCTTCACTTCAGGAAGAAGTAGACCAAACCAAAGACCAAATCAAATCTATATTTAGGACACTGTAGTTACATATTTGGCACATTCTCCCTGCCCCCTGCTCACTTAACAGTGGCACACTGTAAGAGGTATCAATAACTTCCTTCAAAGAGCAAAGACTACCTTCCTGTGACAGTCTATTTTTTTTTTTAAAGTTCCAGTGTTGTATTTTTCTTTATTTTTTTTTCAAGTTGTATTTCCATCTCCTCCCATTCTCATCTCCCCCCATAAAAGAGCTGATAAGAGAAATGTACAAACAATAATTCCTCTATGAAAGTTGTCAGATATGAAAGCACCAGGCAACTGCAATTTTAATAACTCACTTGTCTCCTGTATTCGGACATTGGAGTGTACACCGTCCATCCATTTTCAGAAAACTTTTCTTCATTTACAAATGCGAAAAAAAGCTGTAGGATGTAAAAGAAGCTTATTACACCAAACTCTGACTGAAAGCAGCAAATATGAGGGCTCATCATCAGTTATACCCTAATGCTCACCACAAAATAGGACTGATTTTTCCATGCCAGCCCCATTGTCTCCATTTAAATCTGATATTTATAAGACTGTAAAGCAAAGAGCAAGAAGTAACAAACAGTACAGGTCTGCTAATGAAATAATGAGAATGTGACAACAGTTAAAACAAGAAGTGACAAAATAATAAAAATTACAAAGCTTAAACTGTTGGATTTTTTTACTGTCAGGAGGTTGAAATGTTTTAAAATAGTTTATATCAGTTTATTTCCCGTATTTCACATCCTCACCAAGTAAACTACCATCTTCTCAACAAAATTTCTCCAAGAGGTACAGCTGTGATTACTACATAAAATATTAGACACTAAATTTAAAGTGTAAAAAGGTTTTAATTGCTATGCATTGCCATTAGGAAGCAGCCTTCTTTCTGCACCCCCTCCCCAATTAATCCTTACTAACAGAAATCCAGTTTACTGTAAAACTCCATGAAAATTAAAAAGTTGCCATTGAAAATGAAGCGAAATAAGTTGTTAGCAGGTTACACCATCTACTTTTATCTTGCTTTGTTGCTCACTCTCAAGACTCATTTATACAACACAGGATCCTCACCCAGGATTCTGACAGCTTCCTCATACCTTTTAGCTTCCTCCTCCTTTCAACCAATTCCAAGTGGGCTGTATTACCTAACTCACCCCTTTTTTCCTTGGTTTGTTTCTACAGGTTATGATGAAAGCAAAAGTAATGTTTATTTTAAGAATCTCCTTCACTGAGAAAATTGATTTTGGTGGCTTACGAATTCTTCAGATGCCAACTGGAGCATGAAACTAAGTTGTTTCAAAAAAAAGAAAATGGAGAAGAGAATGTGTTGTCCTGAGCTAACTGAGCAACAGCAGCCAGAGCAGAAAGCATTCAAGAGCCCACCATAGCTCCTTTGTAACAAAAAAGCTGAAAGCCTCCTAGCTGTTCAAAGACATTAAAAGAATAAATTGAATGCTAAATTGAACATCCCAAATCGGCATCATTTTCACATAAGCAGAAATGCAGAAAACCTAGCAAGCAAAAAAAAAAAAAAAAAAAAAAATCGTAGTTCTAAGGTGCCATGATTACATCTACAGAGGTAAGGCAATTCTTCGTAAGCGCACCGTAGGCCCAGACAGTGGATTCTTTAGCTCTTACGAAGGCAGACCCTAATGGCTCAAGGCAATTCTGTTGAGCCTAATATGAAACAATGATTTAAACAGTAAACAGCTCTAATCAAAATACAAAACTGAATCCCTCCAAAAGGAGGAGTTTTTCCTCATATATTTCAAAAAGATGTTACTGCTCACAAAAGATACTTCACCCCACTAGTTTTAGAAACTGGAATTTTAAATTAAATCAGTATTTCAGAGCAAGTACATTCATTGGCAAGTTTGGAAGTGCATTGTTTACTTCTACAAGTTGGGTTTTCTGAATGTCTTCACCATTTTTAAAGGTATGCCTTCGGCTTAAGTAAATGATACGGATTCTTTTGACTAAGTAAACTGCTATCAAGTAGGATGGAGGGAGAGATGAAGAAAGGAAAAGGAAAGAGGTAGACATCAACTATATCAGAAAAAACCCATTCCATTAGAAGTAGATGCAAGTATCACAAGTTAAGCAGAAAAACTGGAAAGGGTTGGTTGTTTTAATTGCAAACTAGGAATACAGCAAAACAGGAATCTCACTGTCTAAAGCCATAGACGCAGCTGATTTGCTGAACTACTAATAAATAGCTACACACAAGAACCATCCCCTCCTCCCCAAAGGAATTCGCTGTATCCTGAAGAGCAACTATGCTAAGAATTCACCAAGGAACCAGAGACAAAGGAGAATCTTATAATAGGAGGAAACAGAACCACTGGAATCCTAACAGATCACTTAAAAGATGTCTCAGAGGCAGGAATATGTTACTTAAGTTGCTACTTAACTGCAAGTTTCCTGGTGAGAACTTAAAAATTACCCAGCTTAAGCCCTGGTAAGCAAAATACATGAGTTTATTACAGTGCACTGTGATAGCTGTTGTGTAGAAGATTTTACTGATACAGAAGGTGCTGCTCCAAACTAGAAAAAAAGAAATAGCAGCTATGCTGCTCATGTCACCCACAAAAAAATCCACAAGAAATCAGATGGAAAAGTGTATTTTGTTGTCACCTTTTAAAAAACAGGGTTAAATTTACTCTGCATGAGGAGGGGATGGACAGAATCCTTTCTGAAAGAACAGTGTCCTACTATGGACAGAATGTTTCATTTAAAATGCTTAGCTACAGCAGCTTTACCACATCTGCTACAAAAGCTTTCAGTCACACAACCCACAACTACTAAAGTTGACAATTAAGCCTCATGAGTTCCATTGACATTCAAGGTAGTGCAACTTCTTCCTATATTGCTCAAGGAAAAAAATTATTAGTAGCATGGATCAACCAGCAAAAATCTGAAGCCTAACAAATAACAGAACACTACAATGAATGCAAAGGTGTATGGAGCAAAGTTTGGACTTAGATTTTTCTATGAGCAATTCAGAGGAAACTCTTGAAGTATACTCCAACAAAAACAGTATTTAAAAATGAACAGTATCTAAAAACCTGAAGACTAAAAATTATTTTCCTTCTGCAAGAGTTGACTAAATTATAACAAAAATTTACACACACATCTATATGTACACATTGTGCACAGACTGCACAGTTAATCTGGTTACTACTGAAAATCATACTCATTGTACAGAAGAGATTAAAGATCTGAATCCCGCCCCCACCACCCCCAACAGCCTTTCACTTAAGTCTTGATGTTTCAAGTCCTGAAATATTCTGTGAAGATGGCCTGAACTTTAGTCCAGGCTAAATGCTACTCTGAAATATAGCAACATCCCCACCCTACCTTAGGCTGTCTCACAACAAAATACACAAAGCAATGTGTAAAGCAGTTTCAAAGAGTAAAAATGCTTCCTTTTCCACTCTGACAATCATAGCATGGTTCCATTCAACAATATACAGTTTAAAGTAATTTCTCAACCTAAAATTTTCATACATTCACATCCACTTAAGCAGCTCATTAGATGAAAGTAAAATTTGTATCCTTCTACGTATTCCAACATGACACAGCACAAAAGTCAGAATAGGAGAACATGCATTTAAAACTCTGCATACATTTGCACTCATCACATATAGTTCCATTTAATTTCAAACTACAGTTTAATTTCAGTGTAACAAGCAACCCACATTTATAACTACTTTAGTATTAAGAAACATATACTTAAGCAAACATAAGATATATATGCTTGGATACAATTGTATTTTCTTACTTGTGTCAGTACAAGCCATATTTAGCACACATTTATACATTACTTTTATTTATTAGAAACGTGATAATGAGCAATGTGAATTTCTCTCGAATAGCATTTTTTGTTGAATTGAACCTTTTATTATTCTGATGCACCAAATTGACAAACCCCATTACAGTGAACAAATCAATGTGAACAGATACATATTTAGATCCCAGAAGGGTTTGCTATAGTTCAGGTAAGCTTCACATCTGCACTAACGACCCACATATTTCCACTTCTGTCCTAAATAACCCAAGCTTCCAGATTAAAGACAGTATGTTTGTATGTCCTGATTAACTTAACATTGCTGAAGCTGTCACATCACAGTGAACATAATCTGAATGCAATTCTACAGTGCAGCAGGCAAACGGGGCAGAAAGAAATTACGGGAAGAAGAAATTATTCTATTCGCAGTATATTCTGCATAGGTTCTCATATCACTTGACATAAGATTTGAGATGTGTTATCTTAGTAAAAATACATGGCTTAGCTTTCTGTGGATACAGGCTCCTTCATACTAGTGCCCCTCACATACACACGCCTCTTGTGTCAGGATGAAAACAGGGAAGTCACTTCACTGCCCACAGGTGTTTAGTATGGACCAGCTGGGTGTGTATTTATATCCTTCAGAGCGCAGAGGGCAGAGGAAGGTCAGAGAAGCAAACTACATGACCAGCTGTAGGAATCGCCTGACTCCACAAAGCAGAAAAGCCCTGGCAACCTCTCTCGGTGCATCATTATGCACACAGGCAAGCCTTTCAAATATCAGAGTATAATAAAAAGTTGGCCAGTTCCACTCTGTGCCTTCTTCACACATCTTTCCTTCCCTCCACATCTATGGCACATCCCTGCTAAACCCTTCTTCTCCCCAGACAACACTTTAGGTATTCTGAGCCTCCACCCTAACATCCACTCATTTCTTTCTTCCCTCCACACACAAAATTCCATTCCCTTCTCTCATCGTTAATCCTGCGTCTCCAACAAAAAGCACTTCTCCACAGCTCTTATTGCACCCAGCCTATTTTCCCAGGAATTAAATCAACTGCAGCTTCATTGGATGTGTCTAAATTAGACAAAAATGGTTGCAAATTTAAAAAAATAAGACCTACACACATGAAGCATTCAGGTTCAGAACAATACTGCAGTAAAACAAGCATGGTTTGGGTTTGGTTTTTTTTTTTTAGATCAACAGGCTTCTTAAAATCATGAACATATAATCACAAAGCATAACTGTGGTTTGTACAGTTTACAACTCTAGATTAGTTTGGTTGGATACTAAATACCAGCAACAGTACAAGTTTCAGGGAGACTACCTGCTCAATAAATCAGTGTTTCAAGCAGCAAGCCTGAGCTGGCCTCCCTCCCTCCTCTCAGCACTGAGACCAGCCAGCTGAAACCCACTTGAATAAAGCATAGATTTACCTTAAGTTATACTGATTACTGTTTTTATCTCACATCTTGGGTTCAAAGCAGGATAGTTTGCAATCACTTCCAATGTACTGACCATATCTGTTCTAAGTGGGATGAAGATTAGTGCTACATGTCTGATGGAAGCCCATCAATTCCTATTAGTCTATCAACTAATTAAAAATCAGT